ACCCCCTAACTCGGCCGTTTTTCGATCCGACATCGTTCTGCCTGATATCCTTGGGAGCCACAGGTTTATCCTAGAGAGGAATTTCAGAAACCATTTTTTTATTGCGAACTTTGCTTTTGAGACCATAGTTTTGCAGTGCGTTCCATCTGCCCTTTGGCTCTGCCACTACGGTGTTGCGAGCAACACCTCACACATCAACGTCCTTTGAACCGCTCCATTCATTTTCTAAATCGTTCGTTTCGAAGCTATTATCACAAAAAAAAACCTGACTCTCTAATTTACGATCATCTGATGAAAATCTTATCAGGGAACAGCTGCGTCTTATCATTCTTTTTCTATGAAGTCCCATGCCTAAAGACAGTAAGGTTAATGTTCTGCATCAAATAATTTTTTCAACAAGGACATGTATAAATTCACACTTTTCCTCTATATTTCCTGGGCATTACTTTTAGGGGGAAAATGACGAATATACACTAATCGGTCTATGTAGGCATGAAACTTAATGTGGCTTGGAACATCTATAGCAGGAAACTAATTCAGGTCTGCAGTAACTTTTTAGCTGCCCAATAAATCGGATATGGGATCCGTTTGTCCAAATGAAAGGCTCATTGCCAGAGGGATTGAGTTTGGAACTGGAACTTTGGAACGGATCAGAGATGAATCTTGGATGCTGTTGGTGGTTAAATCTTCAAAACCAAGTCGGGATGTGATGCAGACTGCCTTTATATAGTTGGCACAGAGTTTTGTGCTAGAAAATTACAATTACAGAAGTTTTGTGCTATCACAATTACAAAGGGGTACTGTCGTTCGTTTCGCAGCGAACGACGATTAAGGAGATTTGTCGCAGCGGCGGTGACGCCTTGCTCCTCGCTATAGATGAGCATCGAGGTCCGCCGCGCTTAGGAGCGGCGTCGCCGTCGGCATTAGCGTCGGATCGGAGTCTACGCTGCACTTGCTGTCACCCCTTGCCACGCGGGATGTTGCCTTGGCCCTTGCAGCCCCCACGCTGGTCCTACACCCTAACTATCGCCCTACGCGCGCTACGTCCTACAACACTGAACAGTCTACGCACAGCCCAACTTCCTCAATTGATAAGAAATATCCTTTCACGGCGTGTAAACCGTCAACGACATCAAGCCTTCAACACAAGACTCAAGACAGTCCTTCATGGGTACGCCAGTAACAATCAAAGGAATGAAATGGTAAAAAGAGATACATCCTGTATACATGTATACATAAAAGGAAAACATCAAATACTTCAGCTTTTAAAAGCTACGACGAGGACCAATGAACCCACGTATCAGGAGGCTCGAACCCAGTGCGTTAAGTCTCACGGGGGTGACGTGACTTGGGACCGCTCTGCGCGTCGGGCTTCCATGCCCGTGTCGATCACTACGCATTCGATCGGATTGCATTACGTCTTCATCCTCAGGCAGGTTTGACAGCAGAACAACGGGCAGAAGCAGCCGGATACGACGACGTCCCGTAGACACACTGCCGGGTGTTCTACACCAGAGCGCGCGTCTACCGTAGCCAACGCGCAGGCGTAGATACGCCGGGACCCCTCGCACTCTACCAAGCGTCGCCCTTTAAGAAGTCGGGCGGAAGCCTCGACAAGATTCGAACATTTGTGATGGTTGTAAATTAACTTTTGTACGTGATCAATGCCGTTGTTAACTGCGCCCAAGCATTCGACTACCATTCACAATTGTAGCAAGGGGAGAGAGAAACGTTGTCACTATCGCAACCGCCTCAGACAGAAAGGTTTTTATTGGCAAGGCCGCCTCTAGTCAGGGAGCGGAGGATGGACGTCCGTCGGCTCAGAAATGGCGCTTCACTGTCTTTGGATTCGGGGAGAAGCATCGTGTTTCCGCTTCTACATACCCAGCCAGTCATTGCAGATGAGCGCGGGCTTACTTCCCGGTGAAGGGCATGAGGCCGAGAAGCAATGAGAAGGGGTACCGTGCGTGAATTTTTTGATGGATGTTTTTTGAGAGAGAACAATAGATCGAGACCTCAAGGTAATAGGCCTAAGCGTCACCATATATTGAATACCAGCTGCACAGTTCTGCTCATGGCGAGCCTCTCTTTTGACAACACGTGTCAATTTAGTGCCCAAATGGAAAGAGATCAAGCTGAGCGATCCGATCAGTGTTTTTGAGATGCCGATATAATCGACCAACTTATCGTAACAAATTTGGATGTTGCTGATTAAGTGTTAACGTCTTTTGACCTTTGTCAATTCCGTCCGAAGGATGCGCCCCCGCATTCGACTTCCATTTAGAATCGTAGTGGCGTCTTGAATGCGTATGTGGGTTATACAATGACTTACGGTGGCCGGCCAATATACAAGTCAGCGCTTTTATCCTCCCAGACAAGTCTGGTGCCAATCAATCGACCCCGGAGGGATTGAAGGCTTGGTTGGCCCAGGAAGATATCTATCCGGGATTCGAACTCGTGGCCATGCGTGTGTGAAGGGTGCCACTGCACCACCTCCTCCCCTAATGTTGTTGATAGCAAACAATATCACGGTTGGATGGAAAAACGCTACTTGGGTTCGACACGATGCTCTGCCATTCTCTCACTTTTTCTGAGCTGCTTCGAGTCTCTCATGGTTGCCATAGCTTTTCTGTACGACGTCACGGAATGATAAAGGTGGAGGTTTCGAGATGCGCCCTACTTTTATTTCTCGCTCAGAATGGTAGTGGCGTTTGAATGCATATGTGGCCTTAGCCATTAATAAGCCAATGTGAAAGCCAGCACTTTTACCCCCTCAAACAAGTATGGAACGATTTAACCGTTCTTGGAGGGATGGGAGGCTTAGTTGAGTTGTAAGCATTGCATGTAAGACTTCATATGTACACGTAATGCGTACGAATATTGGACATATGATGGAGTAAAGGACCACTGACGTACTGACTAGATCAAAAACGAAGTTCTTTTTTAGGCTCTTTCAAAACCATACAAGTGATGTACTTGCCCGATGTGCTTTCGGACAAGCTCGATCCCTTCACAGCGACAACATCTATCACAAAATTTTTTCCCAAGCCTTTGGAAGTGAACTAAGGGCTAAAGTGATGTGCTGGAACACGACCTCAAGTACGTTTCAGTTCATGCTCTCTGCAAGCTTTTGCCTGCTCATTTCTTTTCTTTTATGTTTCAAAAAAAAACCTGTAGTTCCGATGTGTTTGAAGACTGTCTGTACGTTTTACTCTTTGTCAGCAGAGAAAAATTGCAAAGAATTCATAGGAAAATTCTGCAAATTGTGGATTTGCAACTTACTTCGGTAGGGATTCTTTGTAGCTTTGACGACACTTGTCACAAAAAAGAGCTCTCCAAGGAGTGGGTTGAACTCGACATAGACAAAGTGTGTGTGTGCTTTTGGTCTTCTGTAAGAACGTCCAGATGATGTTACACCCAAAATTTTGCGGAACTTCGTCTAGCAAGGAACCGACCACAGCTTGCTAATATAGTTAAAGTAAACATTCAAGAAGCGAGTCGTAAAAGAGGATCGAATCATAACCGCATCATAGTACCGGGTCTCGAAGTATCCACATTATGTCGTACTAACAATGTGGATGATACTCTATTCACATCTTTGTGAATGGTGAAAGTAACCGTGAGAGCAATAAGGAACACTGTACAGAGTTCCTCTCTTCCCTCACCCCTCCGCCCTTCCTGCTCCTTCCGCCCCCGCCTCCCCCACTCGTAATTCCGCCCCAGCTCGACGTCATGTCTACGCTTATCTGTCGGATTACAGAGAAAAGACAATGAATGCTAGCTTTTACGCTTATCGCTGCATTTGCTTTTGACGCATCTAATTCGCCGGACACAAACGGGTGTCTTCTATTCAATACAGGCAGTAAGGGATCCGGGAAAGTAAGCATCTATTAGTAGAACCTAGGCACCGTCGTGGGCATGTGAAGGGTAGCGGGGTATTCCTCGGCTTGAACATAAAGGGACATAATAGACGGCCGGTTCTTATCAGTGAGGGCTTAGCATTCGCAATGCATTCAGCTGGAGCTACCGAACAATGTTCGGGTGGCACGATGATGTGATCATACTTGGTTTTTCCACTAACGGTTTTCGTTCGATGCAAGCTAAAAGGGCAATCCGTTAAAATTTTGCTATTTTGGAAAGCAATACCGGATTCGATCGTAGACCTCGCTTTCCATTCCATTCGGTATCAAGACGGACAAAGTTTGAGAAGCTAGTCGTCAAACCATTGCTCTCGAAACCTTCTGCAGCTTTGAGAAGTGGAATTTCATGGGGATGAAGCGCGTATGAGTTCTGGCGGAAGGCTAATCACTTTTTCCTGGCAATGTTCTACTTGCGCAACTGTTCAGAGTATCATCATCCGAAACTGAGCAGACTCGTACTTTTAGTTTCTCCTACCCTCTGTACATACTATGGCTCACTGCAACTACAGTATTTCTTTCAGCATCCAACGACCTCGATAATTTCTCGAAATTCAGTCTACTCGAAGAACCAGAGAAAGAACGTACCTTCCGCCTTCACAACTTTATGTTATCCAAATTTTCAGAATTTTCAGGCAGAGTACTTGAAAATGAAACATGTTCAAAGGAAAAGTGGAATACAATCGGGCGAGATTTGATTAAAGGTGAAACCTGCCTTTCAGCTCATGGTGAAAGGTTACTACCTATCTAGAATAAACCTGTGACCCTCAAGGATAGGACAGAGTACCATGTCGGGTCGAAAAACAGCCTGCATAGGGCGTAATAAGGGCTCTTAAAGTACGCTCAGCCGACGTACCCAGTCAAAGGAGAACGAGGGTTATAGAGGCTGTAGGGGTTGCACACTGCATACAAGTCATACTAATGAAATAAAAATAATATAATAAAAGTATGAATTTAGAGTCAAAAATATCACATATACAGCACGAATTTTCAGTATGCTTCCCGTCGTTGTCCAGATTTCTTCGAGAACTGAAAAAAATCTCCGAGATGATCAACAAAGCTGCATCTGGTTCTACTTCGCCTATGATGATCTTCTCGAATCATCTGGCCATGCTTCGCAGTGATCGCAAGCCTCATGACGATAAATCAGATTTCCTGCAGTTCTTCAAAAACGCTGAGGACGATTCTTTCAAAGGTTTTCGCATGGAACATACTAGCGGTAGAATCGACTTCACATCTGTCCGAGTAAACAAAACGATGGCTCCAGGTGTAAGTTTTCGTCTAGACTTGCATGCTTAGTCTAGGTGTTAGCATAGTATTGAAGGCTGTTCTCCTTCAGGAAACGGTTGCGCAGTGCCGATTCATTGCAGTAGCCGGATTTGATACAACGGCAAACACTTTAGCACTGGCCTGTGAGCTGCTTGCGAGAAACGAGGACAAGCAGGTGAGGAACGGCATAGCTCCCGCATTGTACCCAATGGAAGATCCCATCTAGGCGATTTTAGGAAGTTCTACTGGAAGAAATAGACACCACTAGGCCGTTCACTTATGATAAGATTCTGTCGATGAGATTTCTCCACTGCTGTGTTTTTGAGACGCTGCGCTTATTCCCACACGCTTCACCGTATGTCCAAAAAATATGTGCTTATCTCTTCTTACTATTTTTAACAGAAAAAAATTAGAATCTAAGTAGCAACACAAGCTTTTTCAGACTTCAAAATCGACTATGCATGGAAAATTGCCAAGTAGGGGCTTATCGTTTCCGAAAAGGTACCTGCATTGTCATCGATCAGTGGGCTTTGCACCATAATCCTAAAATATGGGGAGACGACGTAGAAGAATTTCGTCCTGAAAGGTATGCGTCCTACTGAGGGTTCGGTAGATTTGAAAAGCATTCGAGATAAAGGAGTTTGACGAGTTCCAGCTCAATGAATGTTGTTAATGTCAGATTCTACTCACCTACGAATGAGCAGCTTCGAGCTTTCATGCCGTTCGGTTTGGGTCCAAGGCAATGTGTTGGTATGCGCTTCGCACTTATGGAAATAAAACTCACACTATGTATGCTATTCTCCAAATACCGGCTTCGACGAAAAGACGTTAGGAACCAGGTACTGTATGCAGCACTTTCTCAGTTTTAGTAGGGAATTTTGTTTGTCACTTTTCCAGAGCAATCACCAAGATGCCTTCTCCCTACCAAATTTGCGGATTTTCCCATTCCTTTTCCAGTTTCCACTGTAGAGAGGAAGTAGTCTACTATGTACTTTAGTCGGTACAACCTACTCTTGTTAGGAGTACAACCAAATACTTCACGTGGTATAAACCGATTTGAATGTTCACCACCAATCTTCGTTATGCGATTCGTATTGCACGTGAACCTACAACATACGAATTCGGGCACCGAAACCAAACAAAACTGCGTGAATGTTACCGCAAAAAAGGAACACTGGGTTAGACATATGGAGGTAATGAGGTGGCCAGATCTCAAGAAGAGATTCCGACATGGAGAGATTCAAATAAAAAAACAAAGCAATTAATAAACGAACCGGCGAAACAACAGGTAATCGAGGATCGGTAGTCGATTCTCTAGCACAAATGGGGCGAACAGATAAAAAGGAGAGCCTAAGGGGAGTTGATTCGCGAATAAGAATCGACTGGTAGAGTTTCTTCTAAGGGAAGAGCGGCGGGTTTTCGAACGGTGATGCGAAATGTCTTTTCCCGCGCAATTTCTGCAATAGTTTATCGATAGATAAAACATTGATTATTTGACTCCCCTCCTGACACTTTCAAATATTTTCGAAAGATCGAACTTTCACCTATGCGGAGAAGCAATTTCATTGTAGTAGGGCGATGTACTTTATCTACAGAAGATCAGCATTAATTTTCATTTCCGAACTGTAGAACGATTAATTGATATTGACCGAGTTTGGGGTACGTCAGCTAGGAAGTATCATAAAAAATCGTCCGTTTCCTGAAGCCGCCATAAACAAAAAGCTCTCTAAGGGTTGCCGAGTATGGCTCAAAGCGAAGATGCATCGCTTTTTGAAACATTCACAATCCAAAGTTGGGGCTAGAATTATGTACCGCACCGTGCGCCTTTTGCCCAATATCCTTTCAGACCTTTCAGTTTTATCCAATCTCTTTCCTTCTAAAGCGGAAGTGGAGCATCGCACTTCCACATGCTACTCATACCAATCACGGTGCCTCTAATAAATGTTGGCAGGGCGGTAAGGTGAGGCAGGTTTGAATGGCGCAGTGCTACGCGCATAGTACGGTATCGAAGTGGTCTCTGATTGAAGATGTGAAGAAAATTCTTTTGACACTTCAACCGGAACAAGCTGACATCTCACTCATTCCGAACCTACATTATGTGTTCTTTATAATAATGGTGAGAGGGGACTTGGTTCGACCTGCGTTTTCGCTTTTGTTATTCGAAATTTTACTGTCACTTTGTTCCAAAAAAATTTGAAGCGGCTATAAGTGAGCACGTTACGGATTCGGTTCCAAAAGTAACTCATGGGTAGCCTAAAACCTGGAAAGCTCTATGGAATGCGTCCCTTACACGGCCTTGGGACAGCTATTTTACCAACGGATGAAGTTTTCAAAATATTCTGTGTCTTTTTCATATGTTATAGCAGGAAATTCTCACCTATGCACTTTAAGAACACTTAATTTTCAGATTGAGATGACCATGAGGGACACTGGTACAATTTGGCCAAAAAATGCCAGGGTACAATTTGAACGGAGGTGATAAAAAGCCATAGTTAGCATGGAAATGAATATTTATTGCGGAGTAGGTGAACTCACGAAGCGTAGGTGTATGATATTTTGTGAAAAAAAAGCTAGTAGATTTAGATATTATTTCAATCGAGACAAGGCATAACTTCTCAATTGTGATGTAAGGGTACATCTGTGAATAATACGCAAATAGATAGTTTTAAATACACTGCATAGGTTATTATGTTAACAATCATGATCTCTAATCATAGATATATGAGCACAATGATATGTACCATGTTTCTCATTTTGCCCTTTTTTCAATAGAACGAATAAAAGTTTCTGTTTCCAACGATGCCGATTACTTGAGAATCTGACGAATAAAATTGGTTCAAGACCGTTTGTCATCATATTACCACAGAACTTCTGACGGTATAGAGAAGTTGTACATAATCCTCAAATGAGATCCTGCTTCCACTTCAAAACGTCTGGAAGGCGGGCGCATACTGGAGACCATTTACTTCCTAATTGTCTCCCTTCTTGAAGAAATGAATTGAAAAAATGAAAAGAAGTCTGGTGATTCACATGACAACTTTTTGAATCACAGAAGGAAATTCTAATGGCCAAGGACTACCAAGGTGGATAGAGAGAACTGACGCCACAGACTGAGCTGTTGGTTTGCACCCTGACCGTGTGCTTCTTTGCAGAGCTTGAATCATAGTTCAGAATCTCAAAAGTTGCATAGCACTCATTGAGGCAACCACAGGCTCAATACCGATGGCCTCCATTCAGCCTAGAGATCTATTTGTCCGTATCTAGGACAACGCCTCGTTATCAGCTTTGGCGTCTTCTGAAGACCTTGATGAATGCATTTTACCGTGTGTCATGATCTTGCAGACCAGATCTGAGTGAGTTTCAAGCCCACTTCAAGCACCGCAAGTTAGCCCCAAAGCTGAGAGTGTCTGCCAACAGCCAAGTTGGGGTTTTTTCGCCACCTTTGGGGCTCTGAACTTCTCAGAGGACCTTTTGTGATCCGAAGAATAGTCATGTGAAAACATCACAAGCATAATTTTAAAAAAGGCAATTTTGCCGGAGCCTCCAAAAATATTCAGATGACAAACCTGCCGTCTGAATATCGAAGACTTTACCGAATCAAATGAACAGCATATGATTGTGACTATTTATTCTGCTAAACTATTTAGGAACCGAAAGGCATGTGCGGACGAGGTAATCATAGCAGACGAGATCGAATTCGAGTGAAAATCCATACATATATCAGTTATATTCATAAGTTAAGGCATATAAACTCGTTATACAAGATATGTGACAAAGAAAGTACAATTGTCAAGTACTACATAAAATAACTAGAGCAGTATGCCTAAGAATCTTTTCGACTGTACGGTCAAACACTCCGTAATAGTTCTTTCACAATTCCAACCCAACTGTGCCCGCGATCTGCTCAGCTGGCTGTCTTTTCCACTACAACACACCAGTTGCCGTGTTCGAATGATGACTGGACCACTTTCATCGACGGGACCGAAGTGATGAGGCTTTCCAATTCTCCTTGCCGAAATACATGATAAAAACGGTAGAAGGTAACCTGTAACGAAAGGTGAAGAGCATGGAAAGATAAAAAACGATCATTATGTGGAAATTCTCATTCTCAAGATCTGTGCGGTGACGTTCTTCTCATTTTGACTGCAAGAGGAAGGCGATTGAAGCTTGATCAGTTTTTTGAAAACTACAGAACTTCATGGGTGCTAAAAATTTGACTTGAGCGGCGTGCCACCACAACTTCTGCATGTGGCCGAACTTTGCGGAAAAGGAGGTCTGTCATTTGGTGTTCGACTGATATGCCATGCTCGCCGCACCCGATCGAGCACAGTTGCGTGCTCTGAAGTTGGAAACTCGAATTCCCAGTAGGAGATTACGGTAGTTGCCGCAAATCTACTGCTGCTTGCCATATGAATTTGAGCACAAAAACGATAGAGCAATAGAAGACGGTAGAAGCACAGTGCATGGATCAGAATTGGGAGTGGCATCTTATCGAGTAGCGGAAGGCGAGAATTTGTACTTGCGAGTATGGCTGTTGCAGTTCGATGTCGCGGGAGTATCAAAAGTTGACTGCGCGCTCCCGTAAATGTGAATGATGCCTCGAGACCGGGTTCCTTCATCAGAATTTAGTAAACCAAAACAAGGCGCCCTTCAAATGCTGAAGTTGCTCTTACCTCTCTCAGAGCGGCCATAGCTTCCGTTAAGGCTTCATGGAGAATCTTCTGCGTAACTTCATCGGCGAGTTGTTCCTCGACCGAGATAAGCAAAGTGGCTAGACGGCGCCCTTAACATTCATTAACTCACTAAATTCATTGGACTATTGGAAGCATGAAGTGACGTACCTAACATTGGACTCCATCGTTTCACTCCTGTAATAAGTGATTGTTTGGCGTTTGGGAGAAATTTCGGAGCAGCTGGTGGCGGTGAAGGAGCACTTGTTTTTGTAAACGTAAATAATGGCCGTATTGACTGAACTGTTGCAGTTCACTGACCGTTGCAAATTCAATGCTTTGTTGAAGGCTAGTCGGAAACCAACATCTTTGTAGGGTGGAATGACAATTTCTTCCACGATATTTCCTTTTACTTTTAGCATTTATAGTTTTTTTTTCAAAATTTCTCATAAAAATTATGCTTACGTACTCAATGGAAAATAAATAAATGATGTGATGGAGTAAAAAAACAAGTCTCCACCCACGATACACATGCCTGTATTGTATTGAAACTGGAAAGTTGGAGCTGCATTTCTGTTACCCAAAAAGCTCCTTTTTCTGCTTCACTTCTCCCACATCACGCACTTTTTATTGTGTTTATCACTGTTTTGATTGACTCTTATTTACACAAAACTAGCCACAGGATTCAGAAAAATGAAACAATAATGTAAACAAACAAGGTGACCATGCCATCAATCTTGGCTTGCCTACTGCTTTGCAAGTTTTCCCTCAGACATACCTTACTGAACAAAGATCCTAACCAGTTCACCGAACATTTACTGGGCTCCTCCTCATTCACAGCAATAGGGATCGATGCCTGAATAGGTTCACATCAACAACCACCACCACGAT